GTGTTCTTTAGATTGTCTTTAAACCTATTATAACATCTGGCTCCCTCATTCATTAATGAGTAGGAGAAAATCTTTAATGGGTATTCCTTTTTATATCTGCATGAGATTCATGATTTTACCTTTCATTGAAAATTATCTTTTAGCACTAAACTGAGTAATTCCCTGCCCCCAGAAAAGCCCAGTTCTCCAGCACTGAGATGTAAAGGGGTCTATTTTCAGGGTGAACCACAGAGGCAACCTGGTTCCCCTTCACTTGCCCTCTGTCCTCTGGTGGAGACTTCACCTCTGTGTCATGGTCCTCATGGATGTGAGAAAGCTTGCTTTGAAGATTTCTTTATTGTTTTGTTCTAGAACAGTTCAATGATATAGCTCAGGAGACTGGCCATCCACGTACTTGCCAAGAGGTTTGCTTTTGAAGGTTTTGAAAAGGCTTTAGTCTTTTTCAAGAAAAAGTTGCTGCCAGTGTCTGGGAGGGGAAATGGGGAGTTCAGTGTTTAATGGGTACAGAGTTTCAGTTTGGGAAGACGAAAAAGTTCTAGAGAGGGATGGTGGTGATGGATGTACAATAATGAGAATGTACTTAATGCCAATGAGCCGTACACTTAAAAAATGGTTAAAATGGTAAAGTTTTATGTTATATATATGTTACCACAATAAAGAGAGAGAGAGAGTTGCTAATTTGAATACTTTCTGGGTGGGTTCCTGTGGGAAAAACTGAAATTCACAGCTTCTCAGAAACTGAAATTGTGTGTGTGTGTGACTTTTAAAAATAAACCTTCCTCCTCCAACCCTACCCCTTTAGTTCTCAACCAAACAACAAACAGTGACTGTGACCCAACATCTAGAAGGCGCTATGGAATGGAATAGAGAAGACAAAAAGAAGGAACCAACAGTGTGAGGGGAAGACAGGCCGGGCCTGTCAATGTGATATTTATTGTTCCAAAATGATTGTTTTTGTAGCAAATGACAGGCACCTTCCTTGAGCTGCCTTAGCCATACCAAGAAGGTATTGTTGGGAGAATCCTGGAGGTGCTGGAGGCTCCACTGGCTTCTTGTTGCTGCTGCAGCAAATTACCACAAAGTCAGTGGCTTAAAATAACACAGATTTAGTCTCTTACAGTTCTGGATATCAGATGTCTAAAATGGATTGGTACGGCTGGTTCCTCCTGGAAGCTCTAAGGGAGAATCTATTTCCTTGCCTTTTTCAGCTCCTAGAGGCTGCTAGCATCCCTTGGCTCATGGCCCCTTCCTCCATCACTCCATCCTCTTGCTTCTATGGTCACATCACCTACTGCTGACTCTGATCCTCTTGCCTCCTCTTGGGAGGACCTTCGTGATTACTTTGAGCCCACCTGGATCATCCAGGATAATCTCCCCATCTCAGAGTCCTTAACCACATCTGCAGAGTCCCTTTGCCCATGTAAGGTAACATATTAATTGGTTCTGGGGATTGAGGACCTTTCTGTGAAAGCATGCAGATAAGGAAAGGACAGTTAACGCTCTACATACCCTTTCATGGGGAACTTCATCTCCAGGAATGGGGAGGAATAGACAGAGACACCTTTCACACATAAGAGATGGCTGCCTCCTGCTCACTTCCTCCCAAATGTCTACATGCTGACCTTACATGTGGACTGGGAAGATCCCACCTCGGTGACCTCGGGGCAGGGATGGGAGAGAGTGTAGCTGCAATATCTACTTGGGGACAAACAGAGCAACCGTGGTGGGCTTCTTGATGACCCCCCAGTCCTGCCTGAGTGCTTTGGCCTCCCTCTCAGAGCTCTTTAAAGATGAGTCTTTGTGACTTGCAAACACACCCAAACATTCTTAGACAATAAAAAGAAGACAATTTAAATCTCTAAAAATCCCACCAACTTGGAAGTAACCACTAGTTAACATATCAATGTACATCTTTCTCGACATAGATTTAAGTTTACAGCTTTACAAAATTGTTATACTTGCTGCTTTATAATCTTTATTTACTCAAAATGTTGTGATCACTTCTCTATGACAATAAATGTAGAATTACATCTCCATTTCTATTGGTTTTATAGTATTGTACAGAATAATATTTAACTAGTACACAATTGACTATTTAAGTTGCTTTTAATTATTTTTCACTATTGTAAACAATACTACCCTGAACCTCTGCCATTTGTCTAGGTATCTCATTAGGGTAAATTTCTAAATATGGAATTGCTGAGTCAAAGGTATGCTAATTTTATATTTGGATACTATAATGGGTTAAATCGTGTCCCCTCAAAAGACATATTGAAGTCCCTAGTATTATCCCCATTTACTTCCAGTACTTCTATAATTTACTGTTTTAAAATTAAGTCTTTACTAAACCTGGAATGTATTTTCCTGTGAGAAGTGAGATTGAAATCTAGGTGGGTCATTTTTCAAAATGAGTAGACAGTGCCATGAAATGGGTAATCCATGTTTTCCATGCTGCTTTGAAATGCTTCCATTATCATATCCTAAATTTCCAAGGAGGCTATTTCTGAACTCTCTGGTGTGATCACTGTCATAGTTATCCTGATCGTGGTAACCTACTCATTTGTCTTTATCTCCTCTGGGAAAGCACCACAGATGGCCACCCATCTGTACCTTCCATTCTCCTTGACATCCTTAGGGCCCTCTAGCTGCCCAGGCCTACAAGCGGCATTGCAGTTGTACAGAAGAAAAGGTTAAACAGGCCCTAACTTCCTGCCTTCCTCTTGTGGTGGAAAGACAATGATGGAGCCAGGGGAAGAATGTAGGTGGTGAGAAAATGGGCAGGTCCTTATGCCCTGGTGTGGAGTCCTAAACTCTGCTCTTGGGCCCCCTCTACCAACACATTCACTCCCAGTCCGTGGGGACAAAACCCACTGCTGCTCTCCAGACACTCTGGCTTGGTTTATTCACATTCCCATCACTCAGTTAGCTCATACATATCCTTCAAGGCCCAGTTCAAATGCCAGTACAAATACCCTCTTGGCCCTCTCACTTCTGTGCTCCCACGGCACTAACATTCATGGCTTTTAATAGTAATCACTTATGTGCCCTTCTGTCCTAGGGAACATGGGCTCCATTGGGGGCCCCAACTTGCTCAGCTCTAAGTAGAGACCTTTGAGCATAGGGCCTGACACAAAGTGAAGGGCATTGAACCTTGTTCACATTCTATTATGTCTTCACCTGCCTCCTACACCTTGAGAGACTTTCCTGAGGGCAGGTGCTGGCTCAGACTCTTCTCTTTGGCTCTCACACTGCCCAGCACATGGTCAGGCAAAGCAGGCCCTCAAGTTCAATAGAATGAAGCTGCCCTCTTTGGTGTATAGAACTCAATTCTCTCTGTGGATGTCTTTTTTCAGGCAACACATAACTATCAGTCATCTGTTGTGCTCCGGACTATGCTGGGTGCCGTGGTTGGGAGGGTGGTTGAGGAGGCACCCTGTCCCAGCTGGGGAGAGCAGACAATAACAGATGAGAGATTCCATGGCACCAACACTGAATCATCTTAACGTTTATCAGTTGAATTCTTTCACTTTACAAATGAGGAAACTGAGGCTCAGACAGGGGAGGGGTTCATGTAAGAAATTGTTTGCAAACTGAGCCTGACACCTCAGGCTTGGACTTGCTGTGCCAATGCATTGTGGCAAGCAGCAGGTCCATCAAGTTTGCTGTATCACAGCTGAACAGGGTCATCTTGAAGGGTTAATAAAATCATTTATTGGGTAAATCAATGGAACACAAACCAAGGAGTCACCACTTTGGCAGCAGAAGACAAGCTCTACCCACAGAAGCATTTATTCGCCTCTCAAAAGATCATTTAAGATTTGCTTTCAGGGAGGCTTTTGAGCAGCTAAACTCTGGATTGACCCTAATATGACTTTGCAAATGGACAGATCTGAGTTCAAAGTCCTTCCCTCGCTGTGTGGCGTTCATTCATGATGTAACCTCCCAGAGCTTTGGTGTTTTCACCTGTAGAATGGAGATGATAATCTTCCAGATAAGTGAAGATGAGGTGAGCTAAGGAATGGAAAACCCTGTTTTCAGGACTGGTCTCCAGCAGGAACTTAATAATGGGATTCACCAGTTCAGTGGTGTGCTGCCCCTTATATTCATCTCCCAATGCCAAGTCCAGCAACATCCTGCTGGTAGCCTGAAATTGGCCATGGTGGGAGTATTTACATTATAGAAATTAGCAAACACTGTGAATCTTTTTGTTTCCCTAGAGCCAGTTGTTAAACATTCAGCAGACATCCCAGGATATCATCATCATTACCGAGAACAACAACTTGTGAACTCTGGGCAGACCCAGCACACGTCAGTTTGGCTATTTTTACTGACTTGACCGTTCATTTCCTTCAGAGCGGGCAGTTCAACAAAATGGTTGATTGGTTTCATTTTGGTTGATTGGCCCTCATTTTGAGGCTGTGAGACTTCCTGGGAACTCTGTCTCATAGAGTTGCAGGGAAAAACCCAATACAGTCAAAATGGCCAGCTGGACCCATTTCTTGGTGCAGCCTGTTACACACCCTTAGAAACAGGAGCCTTTCCTTAACCACCACCCCCAACCCTCCACTGCAGCAGAAGCTGTGTTTAGCAGCTGCAGGGGTCTCCAGGGTTTTCCAGAGCTGCTCTCCATGTGGGAAGGAGGGTTGGTCGCACATGAGCTGTTTTCTTACCTGGGTCTGCCTCTGGCTGGGAGTCAGGGTCCTCTCACTCCTTTGGAGCTCCAGGAATGCTCAGGGGAGGCTCTTCTGTGGGGTCACCTCCACCTATCCTACACTCTGCCAAGTCTCCACCAGGAGCCTGACTCCTCCTGACTGGTATGGGCCTCTGGTGGGCCTGGTGGGATCACAGGGGCAGCAAGAAGATTCTGGCTCCTGGAAAGCCTCGGGAGTCAGCTTCCCTGGAAAAGGGACCAATTGCCTGGTGACAGCGCCTGGGCCTCTGAGGCCTGTGGGCTGAACAGAAAGGGGAAGTGTGGTCAGGCTGGCACTCACGGCTCTGGGGTGGGTGGAAGGCCTGTGGGTGAGGAACGCTTCTCGTCAGCTGTGCCTAAGTCACGGCATTCAGGACACTGCTGTCCCCTCAGCTGCTCACATCTGGACACTCTTACAGCTCAGGTGAGTACTGGGGTAAATGTCCGTATGAGTGACTGGACTTGGGCTGGGGGATTTTAGCTGGGGCCTTGCTATGACCGCTAGGTGGGACTGGAGAAACACCGGTCTTATAGAGTCCACTCTGCTGGTCACCAGCTGGGTGACCTCTAAATCACTGTACCTCTCTGGGCCTCCATTTCCTCATGTGCGTTGGGGTGATGAAGAAGCCTACATCTCAGGTTGAAATGACATAATGACTGGAAGTGATATGTGTGTGACGCAAAGGGGTTGCTATCACTCTAGATTCTGATGCTGAGTTTTGGTAACTGATATGTGAGAAGACCCTATGGGATAGGGTCTGTTCTGGAGGCAGGGTGGGGTCGAGGTGTTGGCTATGTGAACTTCAGGCTACATCTTGAAGCAGGTGGATGAAAAACCTAGAACACCACCAGCCTAGGTGTCTTTCTCACTGTGTCTCCGGCTTCCGGGGGATTTGTTTACAAATCCTGCCTTCTAGAGGCCTCAGGATCAAGGCATGTCGGGCTGGGGTGAGATCTCCATTGTGTCATCTGCTCTTGCCCTCCAGAAAATTGCTGTGAAGGAGACCTGGGTTCAGCTTTGTCACTTCTACGTCCACCTTCTCACACATCACTTGCCCCTAAAGCCACTCCCTTTTCTGGCCCCTTTGCACGCACCGACCTCTGAGGGAGCAATGAAAGTGGAAATTGCTGAGCCTGAAGAAGACAAGGCCCAGGAGATTCTTTTTCTTTTGGGGGAATCTTTTTTCCTTCTCTGAAGATTGGAAAACTTCAGAGAAATAGGAAAACAATGACCCCAATAGGAAAACAATGACCCTCACAACAACCACAGGAAAGAGTTTGGTTTTTGCTGTCTAATTTTTTTTCCCTAGGTATAGGTATTTTGAAAAGTTATCATTGTTTTACTTTGATGTAAATACATTCTAGAAATAGAAATACAAACTTCACCGCTGTCATCAGAGCCTGGGCATTTCTGTCCCCTCCACCCACTTCTAACACCAGCATTACTGCCAGTGGGCCACTGAGTGACAGGTTTTAAATTATCTGTACTGAGGTGCACATATTTATGCACTTAAGTTTCACTTTTTTGGATTACTTCTTAGGCTAGATTTCTAGAATTTATATTATAGAATCAAATGATAGGACCATTTTAAAAATATACTATTTACATTTAAAAATATACTACCATTTGCTTTAAAAAAAAAATGTTTAATTCAATGTATATGCCAATGGCCATAAGGGAGGATCTGTTTAATCACAACTTTGACGGAATAGGAATTTATCATTATTTTAATTTTTGCTAGCAAATAGATGTAATTCCTAACTGCAGGCAGATAGACATGCCAGGAGAACAATAAACTATAATGAGCCAGCATGTACCAAAAAGGGCATGTTCATTCCACCCTCTCCTTAGTTCTCTAAGATTTATTTATATTCAGCCTTTCACAGTAATGGGAGGATAGAGAGAGGGAGAAAAGAGGCTGGACTCCTTTTAATTACACTGCCCTGCCCTGCCCCAGGCACACTTGGCTTTTAAGTTGCCATCAGCTATCCACAGGGCCATCTCTGGTGCTGACATCAGCCAGGAGGTCAGGTGGAAACTGGCCCTCACTGAGCATGGGCAATGACGGTCTGGAAACTAGAGGTGAGTTCAGGCAAGAACTGCTCATGCTGATTTGCAAGTGTTGGCCTAAATATTATCTACAGTCTCCCAGACTCTTGAGATCTAGGTTGAGAGCAGTTCAAATTCTCATTCCATACCCTGCTGAAGTCCAAGGCCCTCCCCAAGACTTCTGTGGTGTCTCCAGGAGGCTACCCTTTTCCCATGGTTAAAACTGGCTCCAAGCTATGTGGGCAAGCCTCTGTCCCATACTGCACTGACCCAGACGTGAAACTCAGAACCTTTCTTGATTCCCTATAATACCAAAATAAAACCGCTCACCCCAGCATTGGGAGATGCAATAGACTTTACTAAAGTTTGGGCGAAGGGGCCACTAAAGCAGTCCTGTTCTTAAATTGCCATGGCCACTCTGTCCCTGAGCACCTTCCACCAGTCACTTCTCCCACCTTTGTACCATCTGGCTGGCTCCCTTTCCTCTCCTCTTTCCATTCCTTCTCCCCCAGAATTGCAGATCCCCACCCTCACCCAATACCCAGAAGAATTCAAAATTCTCCAGTTCCTCCTAGCAAGCCTCATTCCCTGCCCAGCCAGCTAAGTACTTTAAAGGCAGCTCATTCTATTTTTTACTTTTATTTTTCAATGAGGTATAATTAACACCAATAAAATGCACAGATCTTAAATGTACAGTTCAATACATTTGACAGTTTTATGTATACTCTAACTATTGCCCAAAACAAGATGTAGAATGTTTCCATCACCCCAGAAAGTCCCCTCGTGCCCCTTTCCAATCATGTCTTTTCCTGCCCTATTGCAACCACTATTCCAATTTCTATCACAATTGAGTTTAGTCTGTTATTGAACTTCCTGTAAAGAGACTCATAATCTTTTACTCTTTTACATCTGGTTTCTTTCACTTAATGTTTTCAGGATTCATCTATGTTGTTGTATGTATCAGGAATACATTTGTTAGAATTTCTAAGTAGCATTTTATTGTGTTTATTCATTCTTCCTTCGAATTCCATTCTGTTTTTAACACAGTTTCACATTCTTTAAATACAGCATGCCCAGATGGTCAATATTAAGAATATGAGAGTGAGAAGGGCAGAATGGGGAAATTTTCAATTGAGGGAAAAATTAAAAGAGGAAAAAAGCTGAAATTAATTTTAATAATACATTTTTACTTAACCCAATAGGTCCAAAATATTATCAGTTCAATATGTAATCGATATAAACATTCATTAATGAGATCTTTTACGCTCTTCTTTCCACACTAAGTCTTTGAAATCTAGTGCTCGTTTTGCACTTAACATCTCAGCTCCCACTAGCCACCTGATTCACAATAAGTGCTCTTTAGAATAGCCTCATGGGGGCGGTGGCTGCTGTCTTGGACAAGGCAAGCCTTAGCTAAGGAAATCTGTGTCCAAGGCCACGCAGCCCTTAATAGCAGAAAGCAAGAAGCTGGATTATAATTCA